GGAATTCATTTGTTTAGTCAATTACCAAAATTTGGATGATTTTGAATATTCACTTGAAAAGTTATCAAAGAAAAACATTTTTCATTTTGTAACTTCGAGGGCCCGTAACTTGGTTACGAAGACTTTTAGGAAAAAAAGTTATATGAAGTACTGGTGATATTTTGACCCCATCTATACAGTCACGAGAGGAAAAGAGGAAGTCCAGGGACACCCTGTATATTTGCTACCACCAAGAATAAAATACAGCATTTAAGAACAACCAGCTGACATCGATTCCTAATCACAGCTTCGAAAAATTCTTCAAAATTTTAGTTATGTTAAGTAAGAAAATTCAGTTATTCAAGTGGGACACAATGGATATCGTGATGAAAATTAGTTCTTTAGCAACTTTCAAATATGTGATTTTTATTGAGTATAGGTACCCCATAAGTAAATTCAATATTTTTAAGGCATTGGGTTTAGTAACTCAACCTTATTATTCACAATTTGGATGACTGTAAAATACAAAAGGTTTGCACTTTCAAGTTCAGTTTTTAGTTATCTATTTAGAAAACCTGAATATTTTGTTCTTTAAGTGAAGCAGTTTCGTGGTACAACCCTTTGAATGATGATAAATTCAGGTACAGCAAGGTACCATAAACCACGGAGTCCCATAAAAGATACATAACTCTCGCATTTCAATACTTTCTGTGACAACTTGTTTGAATGAAAATAACCCTGCTTGCTTTTTGGGTAGAATAGAATTGATAATTTCTTCTTGTTATGTATCGTCATTCTTCAGCTTTCGCTCTAATAGTTCTTCAGCAATTTGGTAGGTCATGAAATGACTTCGTTTTAGTTTATGGATTCGTATTAGCTCATCTGCATCAATTTTTGGCTATGAGAGTTGATTATTTACCCATGACAAAGGAACTATGGTGAACATGTATACCTAAAACGTAGATAAAATGAGTCAAATCCAGCTTCAAACAGACAAAACTATCAACTGAAAATATAGCCCTGAGTTATCAAATATCTGGTTAATCATTGAATAAGTACAGTCAAAAATTTTTTCAAAATCGCCGGGTGTCCACAAAACAAAAATTTACCCATTATAATAATATTTGACAATGCTGTAAATTATCTTGTGAGAGTTGGCTCAAATGATTGACGTTGGCTTGATTCCTTCAAGTTTTTAGAATATCGATAGAAATGATGGATTATGGTTTAGATTTTCATTAGCAGCCATTGAATTTAGTTAAAAAAGTTATTTTTTTGACCTCGTTTAACCTTTTCTTTCGTTTTCATAAAAATGCATAGCAAATCCACCGATGCCTAGCTGGTATACGTTTATCATAATTGTAGTATATGTGCTTAGTACTTTCCGGTTGTTAGTGGTGTCGCTAAAACATGTACTATGAAATGACAGTTGACATCGACGGAAGAACAGAGTTGTTGGCTTTGTTAGGTGAAACTCTCAGAGCAACAATATATGTAGAGGCGCCATACCCATTTCAACTACTAGGAGTTGTTTATATTGGAACATCTACCTATCCTTTATTGCTGAGTTTGTGGACGGGAGGGGTGAGACGTAAAGATCGGGTTGTTTATCGAGGGCCGGGAAACAGTGGCGTGGCAATAATTAGTTGACACAAAACAATAGGTATTTTATTACAGTAAGAATACATCACTGGTTTTTGAACAAAATAGTCTTCGTCAATAATGACCTTTCTCTATTTTCTCTACTATTCTCCAATATACAAGTTTCATGGGGTAATCTTATTTCAAAATAATTGTTTAAAATCAACTTTGAAAGCTGGTAACAATGGTTACTGAGAGTTTCATCATCAAAGAAATGGGCAGCAAAAATATCAAGCACATTACTACTCATATTTTGTAAAGTATTCACAATTAATATATTTTTAAAATTATCTCATATAATGGTAAAAATATCTAAACAGCTTTTTAACATTCTCAGACATTTTTCACCTTCTTTACACAGATTTATAACAGATTCAGATGCTTTTGTCATTAAACCATAAGATTTTCTAACTTGTAATCTGGATATATTATCACTACACTCTAATAAATTTAGACAGTCAATACAGTGAATCTTTTTCTTAATCCGTTTTACTACAAAGCCTGCATTATAGGTTACAACATAATTCACATAAAAAGTTAAATTCCAAGCATTTGAAGTGATATAATCATGATCATCAGTTTCACTAATCCATTCTGTCATTTCTCGGTCAATGTTTTCTGAATCATGTTGGACTATTGTAAAATTCGAACAATGTAAAATATTTTTGGTTGGTACGACTGATGCAGTCCATATT